TGTTCTTTTATTTAGGGACAAGGAAAAAAAGAATCAAGAAAACGCCAGAGGACGACTGTTTTGGAGGATGTAAAAAATAAAAGAACAAACCAATGAATTCCGTTCCATAGAAAAGAAGATGCGTAACTAAGAAATTGATTGTAGAATATGGCTCTAAAGCAGAAAATGAGCACTTTTTTAAGAACGAGCCTAATTATTGCTCATGTAATAACTACACAGTGTAGTTCAAAATGTCCATACCTGGAGAAATCTAGCTACGGTGTCTCTCTTCCGCGATGTGGCTTATATTTACTGATTATGCTATAGTGAACAAAAAAAAAACAAACACATTCATTTGCGAAAGTTTTACTGGTATCTGAATTTTAAAAAAGTATGTGTGTTGCAGTTGCAGTTCTCTATTTATCATTTTATGAAAACCTTTTATTGCATTTAAAGTAGAAGTTATGCTTATATTTAGTTTGGTCAGGTGTAATTTTTTTATATACATTTTCCTGCTTATTTGAAAACTCTGTGTCATTTTGTACCCGATTCCCTCACTTTATTTTGAAATCACCGGATGATAAACACAATATTTGGTTTAGAACAACCCTAAAGCTGTAGGTACACCATAAGTCCATGTAGATTTTAACTCTTGCTTATAGATGAGCATTTTGTTGTGTACTGATAATAATTGACAACTATTTTCTTTTCTTCTTGATGTGCTCTTTCCATTTTAGCTTAGCATCTAAATTCATTCCTAGACACTTTGTTTGTATTTTCATATGGTACCTTGGTTCCGTTTATTGTAATAGGTATGTTATTTTTTTAATATGAAAATTATGTTCTCAGATTTTGCTTAATTTAATTTGATTCTCCACTGTTTAGTCTATTTGCTAAATTCATTAGTGGCTTGTGTTAGATTTTCAATGGCTTCACCTAAATTTAGTCCTATTACTAAGATAGCAGTTTTATCAGTATACCATAAGTGCTTGCAAATTTCACAGTAATTTTACATTTTGACATTAATCATTTTTGGTATATTATAGGTAAATGGTAGATACAAGATTGGACCAAGGATGCTTACTTGTGATAGTCCTGCTTTAGTTTGTTTAATTTATTTATTTATAGAACTGCAACGTTCTGCTGCATAATTTAGAATTAACTTTATCTTATTTATCTGTAAATCTTAACAGGTGACTTCAATATTGATTATATAAATTCTTCTTTAAATAGCGTACAAACTTAAGTAACATTTTAACTTGCTTCAATTTAACTATGCATATACAGAAATCTAAAAAAATAGCACTTTAGCTTGGGTTTGCACTAATATGAAAAATTATTTTATTAATTGTAATGTTGTTCAATGTTCATTTTTCGATCATGATGCTGTCTTATATGATATTCATAAAAGTTTTAATATCAAAAATATCCCTTTTTAAGAAAACAAATATTTAATTCAGCTGCTTATAGTAAGTTTTCCCAGATTTGTGATGTCATGTTTTATTAAAATATGATCCCTTTGAATATTTCCATAACTCTTTACGCTGGAAATACAATGAAGTGTTTCTTATTAGAAGGATAAAGCAGAAATAGACAAAATTTTGGATCATCAAAGGTTTGAAGGTTTCAGTTAGAAACTTAAGAGGCCTAGACTGAATTAAAAAATTTGCTCATGATAAGTTATTATTTGTATATTTCTTTAACAAATACAGAGCAATTTATCGTAAAACAAAAAGCTGCAAAAAACTTGTATTATGAAAAAAAGGTTATGTGAGGCAAAGAATAAACACAAAGGAAATTGGTCTGTTGTAAATGACTTAAGACGTAATACGTATGTTCCTGTTAACTTTGAATCAAGTCATGATGATTTAAATGATTTTTATTGTTCAATTGGAACTAATTAACATTTATTCTATATACAAGGCTTCGGAATATTTAAATTCTATTCATGTGACTAAACCGTTTTATATTTATCCCTCTAATGTGTATAAAATTAAATACATATTATCAGTTATTAAAAACAAAAAATCCTCAGGCTGGGATAATATCTCTATTAAAGTATTTTTACATCTGCCATATATATCTCTTGAAGTTTTGGCAAAGGTTAATAATGAGTGCTTTAGAAAGGGTGTAGTCTGTACCAACCTAAAACTTGCATCAGTTTTACCTCTTTATAAAAGACGTTTACAACTCCTGCTAACTTTCGCCAGATTTCTCTTTTACTAACACATTCAAAAATTGTTAAGATTAATTTTCTGGCTAATAGCATCCTTCTTTCTCTTCTCCAGTTCGGTTTCCAATTGGTCAAAAATACGAGCGATGCCATTTTTACTTTCCTATCTGTATACGGATTAGGAAAGTATAGGAATCATGAATTTTTCGACCATGAGTTTTAGATGGATTTTAACGTTTTGGGGTCCCCTGAAACCGTTTTCACTATTTTCGCGATGTGTGTGTATGTGTGTGTGTTTAAGTGTGTGTGTGCGTGCGCTTGTGTGTGTGTGCGTGCGCTTGTGTGTGTGTGCGCGTGTGTGGGTGTGTGTGTGCGTGTGTGTGGGTGTGTGTGTGAGCGTGTATATATGTGTGTGTGTATGTGTGTGTGTCTGTATTCTCGATAACTCATGAACGGATACGAAGAAAAACACAAAATTTAAACTTAAGCTTTTTTCCGGCCTGCGGTAAACTGAATTTTCGGAATATCCGGAATATCCGGAATATCCTGGGGGTACTTTATAAAGGGTTGTTTTTATATTTTATGAAATATATCTGTTATTTACGTTTGGAGAAATAGAAATTCATAGAAATTCATAGAAATTCATAGAAATTCATAGAAATTCATAGAAATTCATAGAAATTCATAGAAATTCATAGAAATTCATAGAAATTCATAGAAATTCATAGAAATTCATAGAAATTCATAGAAATTCATAGAAATTCATAGAAATTCATAGAAATTCATAGAAATTCATAGAAATTCATAGAAATTCATAGAAATTCATAGAAATTCATAGAAATTCATAGAAATTCATAGAAATTCATAGAAATTCATAGAAATTCATAGAAATTCATAGAAATTCATAGAAATTCATAGAAATTCATAGAAATTCATAGAAATTCATAGAAATTCATAGAAATTCATAGAAATTCATAGAAATTCATAGAAATTCATAGAAATTCATAGAAATTCATAGAAATTCATAGAAATTCATAGAAATTCATAGAAATTCATAGAAATTCATAGAAATTCATAGAAATTCATAGAAATTCATGGAAATTCTTATAATTTCATAGAAATTCATAGAAATTCATAGAAATTCATAGAAATTCATAGAAATTCATAGAAATTCATAGAAATTCATAGAAATTCATAGAAATTCATAGAAATTCATAGAAATTCATAGAAATTCATAGAAATTCATAGAAATTCATAGAAATTCATAGAAATTCATAGAAATTCATAGAAATTCATAGAAATTCATAGAAATTCATAGAAATTCATAGAAATTCATAGAAATTCATAGAAATTCATAGAAATTCATAGAAATTCATAGAAATTCATAGAAATTCATAGAAATTCATAGAAATTCATAGAAATTCATAGAAATTCATAGAAATTCATAGAAATTCATAGAAATTCATAGAAATTCATAGAAATTCATAGAAATTCATAGAAATTCATAGAAATTCATAGAAATTCATAGAAATTCATAGAAATTCATAGAAATTCATAGAAATTCATAGAAATTCATAGAAATTCATAGAAATTCATAGAAATTCATAGAAATTCATAGAAATTCATAGAAATTCATAGAAATTCATAGAAATTCATAGAAATTCATAGAAATTCATAGAAATTCATAGAAATTCATAGAAATTCATAGAAATTCATAGAAATTCATAGAAATTCATAGAAATTCATAGAAATTCATAGAAATTCATAGAAATTCATAGAAATTCATAGAAATTCATAGAAATTCATAGAAATTCATAGAAATTCATAGAAATTCATAGAAATTCATAGAAATTCATAGAAATTCATAGAAATTCATAGAAATTCATAGAAATTCATAGAAATTCATAGAAATTCATAGAAATTCATAGAAATTCATAGAAATTCATAGAAATTCATAGAAATTCATAGAAATTCATAGAAATTCATAGAAATTTATAGAAATTCATAGAAATTCATAGAAATTCATAGAAATTCATAGAAATTCATAGAAATTCATAGAAATTCATAGAAATTCATAGAAATTCATAGAAATTCATAGAAATTTATAGAAATTCATAGAAATTCATAGAAATTCATAGAAATTCATAGAAATTCATAGAAATTCATAGAAATTCACAGAAATTAATTCTTCTCTAACTGAAAGAACACGGAAACGATACAAGAAATGACATAACCAATACTTAAGGTAACTGTTACATTTATTACAATATGTACTACTTTTATTATTCTGTTTCTCAACCCTTATACAATTACTAATAGACTTAGAGCATAAATTTTGTTTCATTATAAAGAATGTATCACTTAAATTAATTTTTCTCACATATTTTATTCTATAAACTTTTCATCGTTCTAATCGGAATTTTCACCATTTTAATATTTGTGCCTAGCAATAATAATAGTATTTTTTTAAATAATATTGATTCTTAAACTAGTTAAACAATAAAAAATAATAAACAAAATGCGCTGTCACTGACAATGCACAATTATAATGATTATTAACAATTAAAGTAGTATATTTACTCATTTGTTAAAACCATTTTAATGACGCCCGATTATGTATCAATTTGGAAAATAATAAGTAACAATATGGGTAGGTATGAAGTCAAAAATATGGTTCTATTTTTAAACATAATATAAAAAACACAAACAGACTAGACAAATATTTATATTATCATTTTGTCTGATACTTAAATTTGTGATATTATTTAAAATGATTCTTATCGTTGGTGTTTCCGGTATATACGAGTACAATAGAACAGAGTTTCATTATTTGGTTAAATTTGTGAAATAAAAATAACATGGGTTAGTAAATTAGTTATCTTCAATGTATACAGTTTAAATCGTGAAAATAGAGGTGAGTTTTTATATTTAAAAATATTTGCGACAGGTTTAGAATAACAGTACTTAAATAAGGAGTGATCGACAGAAAAAGATTCACGTATGTCGGGGTGTTCAATTCTTCTTGTTTTTAAAGTTTGGATTTAATAAAAATAGATTGATGAATGTGTTAGGCAGCAGGGAAAGTAAAGCATGAGTACAAAAAGGTACAGTGACTATTACTTCCCTGAGTAGACTGTTTTGTCTTCAACGACGCAATTCTTCCACACCAACCAGCTTAAAGAAAGTTTGTACTAGAACAAATAAAAAACAGTACAAGTAACAATCTTAATTAAATCAATATAGAAAGCAGAATATGTGAGGCACGGGTAAAAAAAAGGTGCAGTGACTATTCCCAGCTAGCACAAAAACATCCCATCTACGTTAATAAGCTGCAATTTTAAACTCTTTAAGCTCGCATTTAATGTACTTTTAACGCAACCCCAATATCCATGCAAACGCCGAATGTCCGCAACGGCAAGACTTTTATAGCACATCTCATAGAGATTACAAAGTGAAATTCGGAAAACATTACACTAGCACATTTACGGTACTTTCACCGAAAGTTGTTCTGAAACGTTTTGTAGATGTTTTAATGTGAATTCATTCTACAGCATTATACAGTGTGCCCACGGATGAACTTAACGATACTTGTAAAAATATTTATTTTAAATTTAAAAAGGATCCAGGACACTCCCAAAAATCCCAAATACACACAAAAAATAAATACTGACAATGTTTAAATACGGGTAATGTGGTAATGGATGCCAATAACAAATGACACTCTTCTCTCAACTTCCACTCTTTCCACCCTCAATTGTAGATTTCTGAATATTTTATGTACAGCGTCACGAGCACTAATTCTTAACTAAAACATGGTTTCAGTTCGGGCTGTACCAGTTACCCATACCTAGACAACTTTTCAAATTGAGATCAAGATATAGGACTCACACGTTTGGACTACTATTGGAATAGGGGGAAAAAGATAAAAACATATTTTATTAACATATTCACTATTAAAAATATATCTGTCAAATATAGGACGATATTTGTAATTTAAAAATATCTATTATAAATTTGGGCGGTAATATTTAGTTATTTAATCAATGTCAGGAAAAACTAGAAATTAATTCAATAAACGATTTAATAACCTTAAATTGAAATATAAAATATAGAACAAAATAAAATTATTTAGAAATAAGTATTAAATGAGAAAAAAAAACAATAAAACGTAAATAAAATAATAGTAAAATAAAATAGATAAAATACTTAATGCACGTATGAGATGTAATTAATGCCCTTATGAGATGGCGTACCTGAAATAAAAGAAAAACAAGTATGAGCAATCAACTTTACCAAAGGTAGCTTTATATTAGAGAAAGTCATGAAAAGGTGATATCCATAAATAAAATACTTATTATCCTTTTAATTAACAAGAAAATTATACATGATAAATATGTCAAAATATTGATTATAAAAAAAATATAATTGACACAACTTCAAATTTTCCATAATTGACAAAAAGTTATATTCTCAACTCTGTAGGCACTGACCGCAATGCCCAAACATCGATCGATATATAAAAAGCCATTACTTGAACACTGACCGCAATGCCACTAGCCCGCACCAACCATGGTGCGACGACTCCGGGAATAATCCCTAAATAAACGCAAACACTGACCGCAATGTACTACGCCAGAACAGACAATCTAACTCACTTTACTTTTGATTACACCTCGTAGAGGAAAACAAAATATAAGTAAATAGTCAAATTCAAATAAGTTTTAATTATTTAATATAACCCTGTTAATTTAGGATATAAGGTTTCCTCAATACTTGACAAAATATCTTTACGTCAGAATTGACAAATTAACTATAAAAGGTTAATGGATAATAATTGGGTAATATAATTTGCAAAATAACTTGATTACAAATTAAAACAAAACTAATTGATAAAACATAATTACTCAGTGAGAAAAACTCACCCTGTTCAGCAAACAGCAACTCACAAAAATTAATATTCACCAGTTTTTTTCTTTATTATTATTATTATTGGAACGAACTTTAATTTTGTTCCGTAAAGTAACTAACTCAAATTCAGAATGATCTGTATTTTATGCCTGTTTCGATATTTTACCCTTAGTTCCCATATTCGTAATCCGATATCTCCATATCTTAATGGTGTTAATGTAAACATTGTAGCTGTTTTGGAAGACAAATATTTCGTGCGTTTAAAAAGAACCGGGTGATTCGTAAAATAAAACTTAATAAATTTGTATAGAAAATAAAATCATTCTTACAGTCGGCCATCCTGCAAATATCTCGTCCCGAGATACATATCCTATTCTAGGGTTGCCTCCTCTTCTTCGGAAGAAAGAACAACTCCATCTCCCTCGCTTTCACTTCCAGTGTCATCAGAAACTCCTCTAGGTGGACACCAAGCTCTGATGCTGTCTACTGCAATCGTCTTCTCGTATTTAGAGGACCTTAACGTACGATGCGACCCTGCCATATCTTTGACAATATAACGGTCATTTGGCAATACTTTCTTTATAACCATTGGACCTGAGTAATTTGGCGCTAGCTTACGACTCGTCCCAGTTGCTGGAGTTTGCTTCAAGATGACTACTAGATCACCTTCATTGTACATTTTAACCTTCTTGCGTCTCTTGTCAAAATTGGCTTTTTGTCTTAACTGGCTCGCAATTATATTTTCGGAAGCTTCCTTTCGGATATTAATTAGGTCATCAATTAATTCTGGAATCTGTTGTATTTCGTCTTTAAGTAGAGAATCATCTCCACCTCGTGGTATATAACCAAACATTAGCTGACTAGGTGTTTTGCCTGTAGACTTATTAGGTACATTGTTAATTGCAAATTGTACAGATCTTACGTATTGATCCCATAAATCTTCCTCCGGAATTGATGGTAATAGTGATGATAGTATTGTACGGTTCAACCGTTCTACTTGTCCATTTGCTCTAGGTGTTGCTACTGCATTAACAATGTGTCGAATATTGTTTTGTTTGCAAAACGATTTGAAATGTTTCGACGTAAAACAATTACCTTGATCTGATATTAAGTTTTTCGGTGTCCCATAAGTTGCAAAAATGTCTTTAAAATATTCTATGACATATTTTGTTTTAGTAGATTTGACTGCTCGTAGAAAAATAAATTTTGTAAAAGCATCAATGCCAACTATCAGATGGATGTTATTTTTCTTGGATTTTGGAAACGGTCCTAAGTGGTCAACATGAAAGGTAGAGAGAGGTTGGGTGCCTTTTGGAATAGGATGTAAAAATCCTTTCTTCTTTCCAGAATTACGCTTGTTGTATAAACATGGAATGCAACAAGAAATATATTTTTCAACATATTTGCCCATTCTTGGGAACCAATAGTTCTCACACAAACGATGTAATGTTCTTTCCACACCGAAATGTCCGAAATCGTCGTGAGCTGCCTTTACCACTCTTTGTCTCATTCCTTGTGGAACTATACCTCGTGCAGTTATCCGATATAGTCGATCATCTCATAAACAGTAATTTTTGTAAATGTGCTTTTCGTATTCTAATACTGGCGGTTTAGTTAATATTTGATGTATTTCTTTGATTTTATCGTCTGTCAATTGTCCAGATAAAATCCAATCTGCTTCTTCTATTCGGAAAATAACTTCACATTCACTTGGTGTAGATACATTGGGATTTCGACTTAATGCGTCCACGTGATTCATCCTATTTCCGGGTCTATATTGGACTTCAAAATTGTATTCTTGTAGTTCTAACCACCATCTTGCGATTCTAGGTATTAACTGTTTTTTGTTACTTGTAGCCTTCAATGAATTACAGTCGGTTATCACAGTAAACGAAATACCTAAAATATAGCTTCTAAATTTTCGTAAGCTTTCCAGTACAGCCAAAGTTTCGAGCTCATACGAATGGTACCTTTGTTCCGCTTCGGAAGCTTGTCTGCTGTAGTAAGCGACTGGGTGCAGTCTATCGTCTCGATTACTTCGTTGTAATAAGATACCTGCTAAACCTAACTGACTAGCATCTGTGTGGACTTCGGTTTTTGCATCCGGATCAAATAAATGTAAGACAGGTTGACTAACTAAGATTTCTTTGAGTTTTGTAAATGCATTCTCTTCTTTATCGCCCCATTTCCAACTTACTGACTTTTGGTTAGATTTGTCGGAGGTCTTGTTAAAATGGCATAGTCTTTAACAAAATGCCGGAAATAACCTGTTAGTCCCATAAATTGGCGAATGTTGTGAATCGATTTTGGGGTTGGAAAGTTTTCAACAGCTTTAATTTTATCGCTACCAGGTTTAACTGTTCCTTGTTCTATCTCAAATCCAAGATAAGTTATAGATGTTTTGAGGAAACTACACTTCTTCAAATTTAGTGTCAGACCCTCTTTTCTAAAAATTTTTAACGCTTCTCTAAAAACATTCAGGGTTTCGTCTATTGTTTTACCAAACAAAAGAACATCATCTAAGTATAATGCTGATTTTTCTCTGATAGGTTTTATGATTTTGGTCATCAGTCTTTGGAATACTCTTGGAGCATTCGATAGACCAAACGGAACTTTGGTATATTCGTACTGACCTTCAGCAGTTACGAAAGCAGTATATTGTTTTGATGGCTCTTCAATTGGCACTTAGTGATATCCTGATCTAAGGTCTAGACTTATAAAATAATTTCCATTTTGTAATTTGTCTATTTGATCATCTATTCTAGGCAAAGGATGATTATCTTTTACAGTTAAAGAGTTTAATTTTCGGAAGTCAACACAAAGCCTTTGTTCTCCATTTTTCTTCTTGACTAGTAAAACAGGGGAAGCATATTGTGAGTCTGATTCTTGTACAATTTTGTTTACCAGCAGGTCGTCTACAATTTCTTTGACTACGTTCTGTTCCGATTTTGACATTCTGTATGGTCTGTATGTAAAAGGTTTGTCGTCGTTTAATGTAATTTTCAT